TCAGGGAGGACCTAAAAACAACAAAAAGTCATGTACAGGAAGTGGAAAAAAGGCCAGGCCACCAAGGGTGAGTACAGACAAGTAGCAAGGAAATGCCGGGATGACATTAGGAGAACAAAAGCTGAGAATGAGCTGAGGTTAGTTAGAGACACTAAAAGCAATAAAAAAAGCATTCTTCAGGTATGTGAGTAGCAAAAGACAAACAAAAGACATAGTGGCACAACTCCGCAATGGAGATGGAAAAATAACAGAGGACAAGGAAAAGGCAGAACTCCTATTTTAGTTCTGTCTTTTGCCATAAGACAGACTATGAACTTCCAAACAAATTGGACTGCAGCTGGAGAAAAATGAACAGTCAAAGAATACCTTACTACCTTGAACGAGTTCAAATCTCCAGGGCTGGATTAACTGCATCCGAGATACAGAAGGAACTGGCTGAAGAAGTCTCAGAACTGCTATCCATTATTTTCTTGAAATCATGGGAAACGGGGGGAGGTGCCAGAGGATTGGAGGAGGGCCAACATTGTCCCTATCTTCAAAAAGGGCAAAGAAGAGGAACCTGGGAACTATAGGCCAGTCAGCCTGACATCAATCCCAGGCAAAATTCTGCAACAGATTTGTCAAGAACAAATCCTGCCAAACTAATTTGGTCTCGGTTTTTTTATCAGGTCTCCTCCCTGATAGACAGAGGGAATGCTGTAGATGTAGTATATCTTGACTTCAGCAAAGCTTTTGACAAAGTGCCCCATGATATCCTGATTAGCAAGCTAACTAGGTGTGGGCTGGATAGATCAAAGTTCAGGTGGATACACAATTGGCTACAGAATCATACTCAGAGAGTGATGATTAATGGGTCCTTATCGAACTCGGAGGAGGTAACTAGTGGAGTCCCCCAGGTCCTGGCCCCAATGCTCTTCAATATTTTTATCAATGACTTGGATGAGGGAGTGCAAGGAATGCTTGTCAAATTTGCAGATGATACAAAATTGCGTGGAATAGCTAATACACTAGAACAGGGGTCCCCAACCCCCGGTCTGCACCCAGCAGTAGTCTGTAGCCTAGGCAGGACCAGGCCGCGGACACAGATCTCATGCCCCCCCACAAATGCCCCTTGTGATCACATCATGCACATGCATGTGAGCGGGGCCCCTGTGAGCACTGCCACATGTATGTGTGCAAGCACATTCCACCCCCTGCACGTGTGCCACACCTCTGCAAATGTGCCACACCCCCCCACCGGTCTGCGGTTGGGAAAAGGTTGGGGACAACTGGCTTAGAAGACAAATAAAATTCAAAATGACCTTGATAGGATGGAACACTGGGCTGAAAGCAACAGAATGAAATCCAACAGGGATAAGTGCAAAATACTGCATCTCGGAAAAAGAAACCAACTGCACAGTTACAAGATGGGGGATACCTGGCTCAGCAATACTACGAGCGAGAAGGAACTTGGAATTGTCGTAGATCAAGCATGCATAGGCATCCTTCAGTCTCAAGAGACTATGGTAACATGCTCTGAATCGAGGAGTGTCCTCTCCAGAGCATGAAGCCCGGGTAAGGTAATATGGAGGATAGGCTGTTACCCAAGCAGCAGATCCCCCCTCTCCACATTGCTGAAATGATCCAATGGAAAGGCAAGAGCCAATACAACTGGTTCCAGCAATGTCGCAGGAGTTGGCAGAACGACACATGCTGCCTTCGGGACTCCAGCTCCGGATTTTGCCTCGAGGTTAACTCCTGAAGCTTTTTCCATGAATGGATATAGCCACAAGGCAGTGGAGGTTTGAAATCGGAGTTTTCCTTCTCCTAGATGGGCTGCCTTCCATGGCTGACGAGCCCCACCTACCCGGCCTGCTCTTTAAGAGTGCAAAAGTAGATCACAAGCTAAATATAAGCCAACAACGTGATGTGGCCACAAAAAAGGCAAATGCTATTTTAGGATGAATTAATAGAAGTATAGTTTCCAAATCCTGTGAGGTGCTCGTCCCCTTCTATACAGCACTGGCTAGGCCTCACCTTGAGTATGATCACAAGCTAAATATAAGCCAACAACGTGATGTGGCCACAAAAAAGGCAAATGCTATTTTAGGATGAATTAATAGAAGTATAGTTTCCAAATCCTGTGAGGTGCTCGTCCCCTTCTATACAGCACTGGCTAGGCCTCACCTTGAGTATTGTGTCCAATTCTGGTCACCGCACTTCAAGAAGGATGCTAACAAACTGGAACAAGTTCAGAGGAGGGTGACAAGGATGATCAGGGGGCTGGAAACCAAGTCTTATGATAAAAGTCTGAAAGAACTGGGTATATTTAGCCTTGAGAAAAGAAGACTGAGGGGTGATAAGATAGCACTTTTCAAATATTTGAAAGGCTGTTGATCTGTTCTCGATCATCCCAAAGTGCAGGACATGCAACAATGGCCTCAAGTTAAAGGAAGCCAGATTTCGACTGAATATCAGGAAAAACGTCCTATTAGAGCAGTGCGACAGTGGAACCAGTTACCTCGGGAATTGGTGAGGGCTCCAACACTGGAGGCATTCAAGAGAAACGTGGACAATCACCTGGCATATACACTTTGATTGTATTCCTGCCTTGAGCAGGGGGTTGGACTGGATGGCCTTGTAGGCCCCATTCCAACTTCACTTTTCTATGATTCTATAAACCCATTAAGCCGAGATTAAAGATGAATAAAAATGAACTATGACATTTCATCCATTATCAAATAAACTTAAATCAACTTTATGCACCCACTTACAACGTGGTTGACATGAAAGAACAGAGGGTGCTGTTTAAATACCGAAAGTTTGCATGTTTGGTTTTAAACGACAGGGAGATTGATTCTTTATAAAGGGGGAGGGGTGGTTATAAGGAGGAAGACAGACATTTCTTCTTGTGAGCAGTGGTGGACATCTTTCAAAGGAACACAGCCCTCATTGAAGCAAACTGTTCTTTTGATGGCTAGCCGCTGACTGGATAGCTCAGCCGTTTAGGCACGTGGGTTGGGAGTTTGATTCCCTACTGTGTCTCCTTACGAGTAAAGCCAGTCTGGGTGGCCTTGGGCGTACTGCAAAGTCCCAGGGTAACCCCCACTCCCACCCCCCCCATGGAAGGGAAGAATTTCTGAGCACCCTCTACCTGGAAAACCTTGGAAAGGGTTACCCTGTCAGAACTGACTTGATAGCATATGATTATTTCCTCAATTTCATGATCAAGCTGCAACTCTCTCTCTCTTTTCAAAAGTGAACAGTTCCTAAGACCCTTTGAGGAAATTAAGAAAAAAAAATGGAGAGTGGGCTTTTAGCTGTATGCTGCCTGCAGGAGTTGCCCATTCCTGCTGTAAGGCCATCCTCACATACAAACATAAATTTCACCCCCCCTCCCCATTTCAAGTGATTTTTGCCTTCCGTTATCTGACTAGGACACATCAATCCTACTTAGGAATGAAACCCGTGTGTGCGTGTGCGTTAATTCACACACAATCTTTATCTAAGAGAGCCTTCTCACAAAATTTTTGAGAGGATGTGTCGATTCAATCGTTTTTCTGGATGTAATAATTAAATATATTCCCCCCCCGCCCCAACCACAACCATATTGCTATATAAAATGTGTATTTCAAAATTCCATTTTCATGTTTTGTCAAGCTGCTTCCCACTTACTAGCAACCTTATATATGAAAGATCTCCAAAATAGCCTGTAATTAGGAGCCCTGTCAAGTCTTATAAACCCACCGTCATGGCTTCCTTTATTGAGTCAAACCATCTCTTATTTGGTCCAGCTCTCCTCTTTTCCTACTGCTTTCCATTTTCCCCAACATTAGTGTTTTTTTTCCAGGGAAACCCACTGCATGAAGACTTCCGTTTAATCCTTTTATAACCAAATACAGCCAGTTTGATTGCCACTTCCCCAGCGACCTCATAGGAAAACCTGGTACTGGTAACCTTAAGAGGAAGGAGTAAGTTAAGACATAGGCATAGGCCGGGGTGGGGGGCGGGCGGTCAGCTCTGGCTGGACATTCCCAGACATTTTTATTTCCCCCAAAATGTCAATTTTCTCCCCCTACCAACAAAAATTAAATTTTCCCTCTTGTTGCCATGGCTTCAAAATTTCCTGAAATCTTAAACCCTTCAACATCCCCTCATAATCCTCTAGATTGGACAATTGTAAAGGTAAAGGTTCCCCTTGACAATTTTTGTCCAGTCGTGTTCGACTCTAGGGGCGGTGCTCATCCCCGTTTCCAAGCCATAGAGCCAGCGTTTTGTCCGAAGACAATCTTTCCGTGGTCACATGGCCAGTGCGACTTAGACACAGAACACTGTTATCTTCCAACCAAGGTGTTCCTTATTTATCTACTTGCATTTGCATGCTTTCGAACCGCTAGGTTGGCGGGAGCTGGGACAAGCAACGGGTGCTCACTCTGTCACGTGGATTCGATCTTACGACTGCTGGTCTTCTGACCCTGCAGCACAGGCTTCTGCGGTTTTAGCCCGCAGCACCACCACATGCCTTCAGATTCAGCAACTGGTGCCCATTTAAAAAGTTGTGAGACTGTCACTCCCATTAGCCTTAGCCAACCTTGCCAAAGGTGAAGAATGATGGAAGCTGTAGTCAGAGAACACCTGAGGAGCCATACATTTCCTATCAAAACTCTAATTAGTTCCCTGGAATCTTTTAAAATTAAAGCTGGGGGGGAGCAACCACTAGATGAAAAAATTGGGCAACTGGTGCCCATTTAAAAAGTTATGAGACTGTCACTCCCATTAGCCTTAGCCAACCTTGCCAAAGGTGAAGAATGATGGAAGCTGTAGTCAGAGAACACCTGAGGAGCCATACATTTCCTATCAAAACTCTAATTAGTTCCCTGGAATCTTTTAAAATTAAAGCTGGGGGGGAGCAACCACTAGATGAAAAAGTATCTCAAAAGTCAATGTATGTAATGTCTTTTATTTTACTATCCAAATGTTTACTCTGTCCTAGAGATATATTGCTAGGGCAGATTATAGTAACACTTAAAAAAAAAAACAATCAGTACGTTAAAATATGCTAACCATAGCCAATCTATCTAAAACAGAAGTAATTATTCATCAGTTGCCAGGCATTATAAAAAAAAATTCCCAAATTGCTTTGGCTGGCCAAGAATATTTTACCTCCTGAGGCAAAAGACAAGATGGCCCCCTTCTTCACCTTCCTGTATATAAGCCAGCTGGGCTGCCTGTTGAGTCTTATTTCAACAGCAGCAATGGAACAGGGTTCCTCAGGCTTGACGGGGTGTATGAAGCACAGGCTGTGTGACACAAGCAGTTGTTGTTCAACAGAGGGAAAAGTTGTGAGGTGGAATTTGTCCCTGACATCTGTGACCTGAGGAGACTGGTTCACTCTGCCCGGCCGGTTCTAAAGTCCTTAAATCCAAAACCAAACTATGTATATTGGAGGGCCGAATTTGCAAAAAATAGAGTTGTTTATACATTATAATCTTACTATTTATCTTCTGAACATGGCTCCTTCAACAGAAAGAGGTGTCTTTGTTCAGCATATTGTATCATACTCCCCATAATTATGGAATCCACAGCTTTCTCCCTTGTGTGGATTCTCTGGTGGTAAGTAAGGTTTGTGCGGCGGTTGAAGCTTTTCCCACACATAAAGCATTTGTAGGGTTTCTCCTCGGTATGAATTATTTGATGTTGTGTTAGGTTACTGATCCGACTGAAGCTTTTGCCACACGTGGGGCACTGGTAGGGTTTCTCTCCTGTATGAATGATTTGATGTTGCGTGAGGTTTCCGACCATACTGAAGCTTTTCCCACACGTGGCGCATTTGTGTGGTTTCTCCCCCGTATGGGTCCTTTGATGGGAACAAAGGTGTGTGCGGTGCCTGAAGCTCCTCCCACACACTGAGCATTTGTGCGGTTTTTCTCCTGTATGAATAATCTGGTGTTGGGCCAGGTTCTCAATGTTACTAAAACTTTTCCTACACACGAGGCATTCATGTGGTTTTTCTCCCATATGAGTTATTTGGTGTTGTGTAAGGTTTCCAATCTTACAAAACCTTTTGCCGCAGGTGGAGCATTTGTGTGGTTTCTCTCCCGTGTGAATGACCTGGTGTTGTGTAAGGTTCCCGATCATACTGAAGCTCTTTCCACAAACGGCGCACTTGTAAGGTTTTTCTCCCGTGTGAATTCTCTGATGTGAACAAAGGTGAGAGGTCCACCAGAAGCTCTTTCCACATTCGGAGCATTTATAAGGCTTCTCCTCGGCCTGAACAGCTTTGTATATGTTCATGCTTGTTCTCTTAGTTACATTTTCCGCAGACAGAAGAGTCTGATCCATTTTGGTCCACCTGCAGTGTTCTTGTGGGTTTGGAATTTCAAGGGGATCCATTTCTCTTGAAGAAACGGATTTATTCCACTTGTGTTTTGCTTCAGTTTCCCTCATCTGTTGTTCACTCCCTTTACTGCTTTCCCTGCCATCACCTGCAGTAAATAAAATATAAGAAACCTGACAAAGGTGAAATGGATCCTTAAATCAGAGAAGAAACCCCATCCCAGGTCCTGAGAATAAAAGAACGCTGTATAAAATGATTAGAAAATGGCCGGCTTCTCTCCATCTTGCTAATAATTCTGATCCTGTACCAAAGACCCTCTGCTGATTAGCACAAACTGCCTCCATTTGCCACTACAATCAGGGTGATCTGTGTCACCAGCAAAAGCAGAAGCAGCCAGAGGAGGGACCCCGACTGCCTCAGAAAGCTACTTCCTCTTGATTACAAAGAATTTCAGCAACTCCTATATCAGTGACTCCATCATCACCACCATCTTCGAACTGCAAAGCTGGAAGGGACCCTAGGGGATCATCGAGTCCAGCCCTTATCAAAGAGGCCCAGTGGGGAATTGAACTGCGAGTCCAGCCCTTATCGAAGAGGCCCAGTGGGGAATTGAACTCCTAGCTTCCAGGACTGCAGCCAGAGACCTCAACCACTGAGTTCCGGGACTGCAGCCAGAGACCTCAACCACTGAGCTATCCAGCAGTTCTTGGGTGGCAAGTTGCCACGTTACAGTAGGTATGGGAAAAAGTCTGCAGTGGTTCATTCCCGAGGGAGCAGAATATGGCCCACCAACTTGAAGTGACCCACCTCAAGAGGTCATGAAGAGTCATTTGCTTTATAAAAGACATCCTCTTCCTCCTCATGTATCACTACAGTCTGATCTAGCTGCCCCCGTTCTTGGTTACTTCTTCATGGAGGCAGTTATGGGGATTGTCTTTACTACAACCTGTGCTTCCAAATTTACCAGTACACCCAGCTGCCTCCGTTCTTCATGGAGGCAGTTATGGGGACTGTCTTTACGACAACCTGTGCTTCCAAATTTACCAGTACACCACTGATGAGGACTAAATACAGTCGCGCCCCGCTTAACGATTGCCCCGCATTACAACGAATCTGCTTTACGACGATGTTATTGTGATCCCAAAACGATGGTCTCAATGGAGGAATTTCGCTTAGCGATGATCGGATTGCGATCGCAAAACGATGATCTCAATGGAGGAATTTCGCTTAGTGATGCTCGGTTCCCTGCTTCGGGAACCAATTTTCGCTTTGCGATGATCAAAAACAGCTGATCGTCGGGTTTTCAAATTGACCGCTTAAAATGGCTCCCCGCTGTGCTTAGGGACGGATTCCTCGCTATTCAGGCACCGAAAATGGCCGCCGTATGGAGGATCTTCGCTGGACGGTGAGTTTTTAGCCCATTGGAACGCATTGAATGGTTTTCAATGCGTTTTAATTGCCTTTTTAATTTCGCTTTACGATGTTTTCCAATGGCCTTTTAAATTTCGCTTTACGATGTTTTCGCTTAACGGCGATTTTCTTGGAACGGATTATTGTCGTTAACCAAGGCACCACTGTACACAATACTGAAGGCAACATAGGCCAGCCACTCATGCTTTCCACGACATCGCCACCCAAAGCCACCATGGTGTAGTAGCTGGAGCACTGAACTGAGACTCGGGGGATCCAAAGCAGGACTCCGAGTGACCGTGCCTATCTCTCGGCCTAGTCTACCTCACAGGGTTGTTGTGAGAATTTAAAAAAAGGAGAAGCCATTGACTTATTTTGGGGGGAAAGGCAAGGTGCAAGTATACGAAACAAATACCATAATACCTTGCATAGCACTGCCCAGTTTAGCACTGATTTGCTATAGCGTGTGCTTGGGCGGCCATTTTGGGGTACTTAACTGAGATTCAGTCTACTTAAAAGAGGTAGGCTGGGTCTCCAGGAGACGTGGAGCCTAGTCTATCTGCTCTGTGCTGATTTGTTAAAATAACTCTATTTACTGCTGATTCAGTTAGTGTATTTTTTTAAAAATTATCTTGAGTGCTAAGCAAAATATTACTGCATAGCAGATTGCAGCCAACCATAGCAGTAAGTGATCCTGACCAAAGATTGCAGCAATCCGTCTTCAAGATGCACGGGAATATTTACCAAGAGAGGCCACCATCCCATAATTGCAGCCAACCATAGCAGTAAGTGATCCTGACCAAAGATTGCAGCAATCCGTCTTCAAGATGCATATTTACCAAGAGAGGCCACCATCCCATAATTCTCCTCCATGACCTCCCTGTGCAGAGCCTTCTGGCCTGGATCCATCAGGGCCCGCTCCTCCTTGCTGAAACGCACGGTCACCTCTTCAAAAGGCACCACCGCATCCTGAATGGGAGAGAAGGGAGAAAAGTATGAATGAGAGAAAGACAGAGATCTTCCGCATAAGGGAAACATTCATTCAATAAATAAATAAATAAAGAGAGAAGTAACAGTAAAAACAACAGATGTCAAGCGGCTGCAGCAGCCCCCGCTCTTCCTCAGCTGAGTTCAAAGCCTTGCTAAGCAGACAGTTTGGACAGAAACAAAAGAAAAGAAGTAGATTCTTTAATGACTGGGAAGGCGTGCCGAAGAGAAAGCCAACCAGCCTGTCTCCAGACCAGATCTCCAAAGGCTTGTTCTTCTCCTACCTGATCCAGCAGCTCTTCGGCAACTGTTCCTGCTCCATCATGCAGAGAAGATGACTTGGGATGAGGCACTGAAATGATTTCATCACCTGGCGGGAAAAACAAACCATTCGGGAAGCCGTTGAATTCTGTTTGCTCTGGGGCACTACTCAAGGTGCTAGTCCTTAGTATCAATGCCTCCCAAAGCATGAAAACCTACAAAGAGGGTGTGTTCCCCATATAAAATAAAATGACTTCCCCCCGATCTTTCCTTTCTCACTGCACTAAATGGTCTACAGAAAGATGAAAGAAATGAGGGCGGCCATGATTTACCATTTTTAAATCTAGGACTTTTTAAACACATCCTTGGCAGGATGGTTTATAGCGGCCTCCACCTTATGAAGAAAGGGAGGGTCAAGTTCTGGAAATTGGGGGCTACGTTCCCATCTGCAAATCCACACCTGCCATCTCACTAGAAAACTTGCAATCAAAAATGGTCAAACTCTAAAAGCACTAGCTTTCTTTCAAAACAAGCTTTACCAATCATCATCATTTTAAAACTGCAGAGCTGGAAGGGGCCCTATGGATCATGGAGTCCAGCCCTTGTCAAGGAGGCCCAGTGGGGAATCAAACTCCCAACCTATGAGTCCCCAGCCAGAGACCCAAACCAAGGAGCTGGCAGCCATCAGCTCAGCACTTCTTGGAGTGAGAGTCTGCTAGGAAACCAGGTGAACAGGGAAGGCATACATTGCTTCCAAGAAGAAAGAGCAATCAAAAAGGGAGAACACCTGTATTCTTCATGGTGGCGACGGCAGGAGAGGGTCAAGGGATGGTGGCATCAAGGTCATCTCAGGATCAAGAAAGAACATAACAGCAGGAGGAATATTTGGAACAACTGAAGACCCTTACTTGATAGCTGCATTCCTATACTGACAGACCAATGTCACATTTCTATTATCCTCATCTCTGGGGATATACAGTGGTGCCCCGCTAGACGATGACCTCACAAAACGATGAACCTGCATGACGATGAGTTTTTTCGATCACTATAGTGCTTCGCAAAACAGTGTTTCCTATGGGCGATTTTCGCTGGATGATATTTGGGTCCGTGCTTCGCAGACCATTTTTCGCAAGACGATGATTTTTAACAGCTGATTGGCGCTTCGCAAAATTGTTTCCCTGTGGGCGATTTTTGCAGAACAATGACGATTTTGCCCCACTGGAACACATTAAACAGATTCCAATGCATTCCAATGGGGAAATGCTTTTCGCAAGACGATGTTTTCACAAGACAGCGATTTCAATGGAACAAATTAACATCGTCTTGCGGGGCACTACTGTATATATATACTGCACACAGGTCATGAGCTTACACTCCAGTCACCAAGAAAGTGGACTTTGATTCCCCAGAAGTTCACGCTGAAAGCAAACTACTAGTCTTTAAAAGTGCTACGCTATTGTGTTTCCCCCGCTCCTTTCTTTCCTTTTGCCAATAGTCTAACACAGCTACTTTCTGGGAAGCTGAGATCCTCGCATGGATACTTACCTGACGAGGCTGCTCCTCCTTCCCTCGCCTGCACGATCCATCGGAACAGCAGCCCCTGGGTTGGGCGGAGTGTAACCTTCTCTGTCTTCGGGGAATCGCGGGCTGCTTCTGCCCGGTCCTCCATCTGAAAGGGCACAATGTGTCCCAGGCAGGGAAGAGGGAAGGAAAAAAAATTAAGGAGGAAAGAGAGGGGCAACAGGTGAGCCCAGACCAAGAAGGCTGGCACCAAAACTTGGAGAAAGGGCAAGGATTCCCAGGAGACGAGTCTACAATATTCTCTACCCCCTGCGATTATTAAAGGTGAGGTGCTTTCACCTGCTGCTCTTCCTGCTTCTTCTCCTCTGCCAGGCTCAGAAGGAAACCTTCGGCCAAGGCCACCGCCTGGGCAGTGGTCTCTGCCCCACACTCCCGGACCCAGTTCTTCATCTCTGGGGGCAGGATAGCCAGGAACTGCTCCAGGATCACTAGGTCCAGGATCTGAGCCTTGGTGTGCTTTCTGGGCTTGAGCCACTGACAGCAAAGGCTGTAGAGTCGGGTGCAGACCTCTCGGGGACCCATGGCCTCCTGGTAGCCGAACCGCCTGAAATGCTGGCGCTGTGCATCGGGGCTGTTTTCCTCCTCACCCAGGAAATCCTGGCCAGATTCTTCTTTCCACCAGTCCTCGCCACGCTGAGACTCGATTAACACAGGCCTCCTTGTTGCTGGAGCAAATGAGTCTGGCTCTTCCATCTTCGTTCACTCTAAGGCTGCTTCCAAGATAAAGCTCCCCTCCTTGTTGTGACGTTCCCTCTCTTCAAGGAAGGGTTCCACAGGCAAACATCTCTACGAAGCCCTAAAAAGCCGAGATGTTGCTCTACGTGCAAAATATGACACCCTGGAAAGAGAAATGTACAGTATTTTACAAACCGGTGATTTTAGCTAGCTAAGTATGGAAGAGTTACTACTGCATGTCAATAATATAGAAGAGTTGTTGCGCGTATCAATAATGAAGGAGCAGGGGTTTTGTAAAGCTAATGGCTCTTAACTGTCCATTTAAGAGCAAACCACTTTCAAATATTTTTCCAATACAACCTGCAGAATTCCCAGATGGCTCCTGATCATAGCGGTTAGAGTATTTGAGGGGTTGTAGTCAGAGCGCGGCTTCCAAACTGCGCTAGTGAATAATCTTCCCTGCAGATGAATTTTAAGACTAAAAATACAGTAGTGCCCCGCATAGCGACGTTAATCCGTTCCAGAATTAACGTCGCTATCCGGTAACATCGCTATACGGAAAGGAAAACTCCATAGGAACGCATTAAACTCCATTTAATGCGTTCCTATGAGGGGGAAAGCTCACCGGTAAGGGAAGATTCCCCATCCGGCTGCCATTTTCGCCGCCTCGGTAAGCGAGGGCACGGCGCGAAAACACTGCGGGCGGCCATTTTCTGCACCTGGTGGCCATTTTGGAACTGCCAATCAGCTGTTTCCCTAACATCGCAATGCGAAGATCGGTAAGCGAAACGCTTACCTATCATCACAAGGGGATGTTTTCCCTATCCAAAACATCGCAATGTGATCGCATTAGCGATCGCATTAGCGATCGCAAAAAATGCGTCACTATGCAGATTCATCGTTAAACGGTGCGCTCGTTAAGCGAGGCACCACTGTACATAATAATTTCATATTTGGTAAGATTCTCAGACCAGACGGTATTTCAGTACAATGGTGCCTTGCAAGACGATTGCCTCGCGGGATGATTAATCCGCAAGACGATTGGTTTTTGCGATCGTTGTTGCGCTTCGCAGGATGATGCTTTCTATGGACGATTTTCACAAGACAATGATTTTTCCATTGGAACGCATTAAATAGATTTCAATGCATTCCAATGGGGAACCGCGTTCCGCAAGTCGATGTTTCCTATGGACGATTTTCACAAGACAATGTGAACCATTGGAACGCATTAAATAGATTTCAATGCATTCCAATGGGGAGCCACGTTTCACAAGACGATGTTTTCACAAGACAGCATTTTTCGCAGAACGAATTAACATTGTCTTGCGAGGCACCACGTATTTTTCTACCCCCTCAATAGATCTTGCTTCCAATGCAAAACTGAGATATCAATATCTATATTGGTATCTCAATGTTTATCAGGCTTTCTGCAATTTGCACAAAATACATTCTGCACAAAACTACTGTATAGTGTTCCCCCCCTTTGTGAAGTGAGGCACATAAAGACACAGACATGAACACAACCCATGCTGAATAATCATAAAAAAGAACCCATCCCATGCTACTGCTTTCATTAGTCCTCCAACCAAGTAGCAGCTACCACACTGGTCTCAATACCTGAACAAGGAAAAATCAAGTTAGATTTTATATTTCTGGAAACGGATGCAGAAACAGTGATACAGTAGTACATTCAGAAGTTCAGCGTTCACCATGAGAGTCTTCACAGCCACTCAGGCCTAAAAGGAGAATCCAAACATGGAGGCCACTGGATTAGTGAATATTCATAATTAAGGAGCAGGGGTTTTGTACAGCTAATGCATCTTAATTGTCTATTCAAGAATAAACCACTCTCAAATATTTTCTGATACAACAGAAATAGCTTAGAATGTTGTAGTGTTCCTGGGGAAATCCATTTCTCTCCTCATGACTGTGAGAAGTCCAGCTAACCTCAGGGAAAAAAGGGAACCCTTTGGGGGGGGGGGAATGGCAGGAAGAACCCTCCTTTGGTTCTTTTTAAGGAGAAAACTGGGATAAAAATATTTAAATAAATAAATAATGCCGTAGTCCCTGCTGCTAGAAAGGTCCTGGAGCTTCAATCCTATGAACTCTGGCTCCATTATACCACTGGTTAAAAAAAAAAAGAAGAAATTCAACAGCTAGTGGAAAGGATGGCTTTCCCCCATCACTTATCTGGCCCTATAAACCCCACCTCATCTGTAAGCACACTTGCCTTATCAGTAGTCCTTCAGCCCTTCAGTTTCTCACATGGCAATATTACGACTTTCTGAGGCCTTCAGCCAAGTATGGGCAACGATGGTGGGTTTGGCATGGCAAGGTTTTGTTTTTGCTTTTGCTAAAAATGCCAAACCATTAAAAAAAACTAACAAGTCCAGTAATGGTTAGAACTTCCAGTTATGAAAAATGAGTGTTTGGGGGAACAGTCGGGGGGGGGGCAGGAGTGCCAACTTCACAGCCACTCAGGCCTAAAAGGAGAATCCAAACATGGAGGCCACTGGATTAGTGAATATTCATATTTAAGGAGCAGGGGTTTTGTACAGCTAATGCATCTTAATTGTCTATTCAAGAATAAACCACTCTCAAATATTTTCTGATACAACAGAAATAGCTTAGAATGTTGTAGTGTTCCTGGGGAAATCCATTTCTCTCCTCATGACTGTGAGAAGTCCAGCTAACCTCAGGGAAAAAAGGGAACCCTTTTTTGGGGGGGGGAAATGGCAGGAAGAACCCTCCTTTGGTTCTTTTTAAGGAGAAAACTGGGATAAAAATATTTAAATTAAATAAATATGCCGTAGTCCCTGCTGCTAGAAAGGTCCTGGAGCTTCAATCCTATGAACTCTGGCTCCATTATACCACTGGTTAAAAAAAAAAAGAAGAAATTCAACAGCTGGTGGAAAGGATGGCTTTCCCCCATCACTTATCTGGCCCTATAAACCCCACCTCATCTGTAAGCACACTTGCCTTATCAGTAGTCCTTCAGCCCTTCAGTTTCTCACATGGCAATATTACGACTTTCTGAGGCCTTCAGCCAAGTATGGGCAACGATGGTGGGTTTGGCATGGCAAGGTTTTGTTTTTGCTTTTGCTAAAAATGCCAAACCATTAAAAAAAACTAACAAGTCCAGTAATGGTTAGAACTTCCAGTTATGAAAAATGAGTGTTTGGGGGAACAGTCGGGGGGGGGGCAGGACTGCCAATGTTTTTAAAAAGTGAATCACCTCTCTTGAAAACTTTTAGATCCTGAAATTTCTTTCTTTTTCCCGGCTAAGAAAAAAAAGAGAGGGGAAAGGGCTGAGAGTTGAAAAAGAGCCTTCAATAATCACAGTTTCCCCGGTCTGTGCCAGAAACTGCCACATTTGACAGCATCTATAGCACAAAGGAGAGGGACGTGGTAGCGCTCCGCAGAAGACTGTGTGCTGCAGGGTCAGAAGGCCAGCAGTCGTAAGATCAAATCCACGTGATGGAGGGAGCTCCCGTCGCTTGTCCCAGCTCCTGCCAACCTAGCAGTTCGAAAGCATACAAAATGCGAGTAGATAAATAGGTACAACCTCAGTGGGAGGACCACAGCGTTCTGTGTCTAGTCGCGCTGGCCACGTGACCATGGAAACTGTTTTCGGACAAACGCTGGTTCTACGGCTTGGAAATGAGGATGAGCATCGTGCCCTAGAGTCAGACACGACTGGACTAAATGTCAAGGGGAACCTTTACCTATAGCACAAAGGAACAGAATTATATTTTATTTCAAGGCCCTGAAATCTGAGGCAATAAGCTGCAGTTTGCTTCGTCAAGCGGTATCCTCCCTGCATTTCCTAACTGAATTTCCTCTTTCGTGGCCCTTTTCATTTCATATATTTTCTTCCAATAAGCTCAAGAAACAGTAGTTTATCCTTACGACAGCCCTGTAAGGTAGGCCAGCCTGAGAAAGAGAAAGAGGCCCCTTTACTTTTCATTTTGCCCCCTGGAACAGTGAAGAACAACCTGTTACACCTTCAAAATATTTGAAGGCAGGCTATGGGATGATCAACGGCATCTTTCCATACCTGTGGGTGGGGGAAGAGATGCAGTTTGAATTCATTTATTAGAACAATCTTACACCTCTATCATTTAACCACATTTGTAGCTCCTTTTTTTTTATCATCCTCATCTCAGAACTGCAGAGCTGGAAGGGGCCCTATAGATCATCAAGTTCAGCTTCTGTTAAGGAGGTACACGCAAGGATTCGAACTCCCAACCTCTGTCTCCATAGCCAGAGACCTCAACCAATGAGCTATCCAGCAGTTTTCCATTCTGTCCTCAGAATAACCCTGTGAGATAAAGGTTAGGCAGAGTGACAGCCTTAAGGTCACCCAGTGGCTTTCACGGATCAATGAGGACCAGAGTCTTCCACAGCCCATCACTCTAACTACTGCATCATGCTGTCTTTCTGCTTCTAAAGTTCTTTCTTTTGCCCTCCGGTTCATGCAGTTTTCCCGAATTCAAGCCCTGATCACACCTCCTCCTCGAAATCTGGGTTCAGGGAAACTTTCACTCCTCCGCTTTCTGTCTCCCCCCCACCCTCTGCAATTTTCTTCCTTCCCCCTGTCCTCCAACCACTTTGTCCCCGAGCAGCATCCAACCATCTCATCCTCCATTTCCACCTCCAAATGCCTCCAAAGGGTTAGCTATGTTCATCGGTGACAGGAAAAAAAAAGCCAAGAGACATCTGGAAAACCTTAACATATTCCTTTAAAGGCAGAGCTTTCATGACTCTGAATGATAAGTCTTCCAGGTGACAGAAAGCCTCTTTGCGCCTCCACAAGTGTGCCAGCTTTCAGCTTCTCCAGAACGCTTCATCAGGTTAGATCAAAGGGTTCTCAAACTTGAGTCTTCAAGATGTTTTGACTTCAACTCCCAGAAGCCTCAGCCAGTAGAAGGAAGGTTCCAGGGATTCTGGGAGCTGGAGATCAAAACATCGAGCAAGCCAAAGGGTTGCAATCCACTAGGCTGAACCGCTTAAAAACGTTAGGAACAGGAGAGAGTTCTGTTGTACTCAAAAGCTTGCACATTGTTTTTGAACCCTGCAGCTGGTTCAGCTACTCAAGGCATTGGCAGGTTCTAGATTTAATTCCTATGGATCAAAATCCTTATTTAAAAAAAAATCAGGAACCCTCCTCATCCCTAGAAAGGCAGCCCAAGCTCCCTCCTATATCAGGAACTCCCTTTACACTCACCCAGTTCTCCTTTGCTGGGGTGGGATGAGATGGGGTGGGGGAAGGGAGGGGGATGAGATGGGAGTCTGGACCGGAAGTTGCTGCTCCTCCTCGCTTCCTCCGGGCGCCTCTCTAGGACGTGAAACTCACTGGCTTTAACCTTTTCAATCTCCCGAAGGAGGAAACGTCAGAGCGGGGCCCATCTTGCGACGCCTGAGACACGCGTGCCTTAAGCAGCGTAGGTGAGAAAGTCTGGTTATGGGGCGGCCCCCTCGTCTCCCTAAATCCCCCCCTAGGAGATCGTCTTTGGGGACTACAGCCCCCAGAATCCCCAGCCCGATTGTGGGTGGTTGCCCCTCGTCTCCCTAAATCCCCCCCTTGGAGTCTGACTAGAAGATCCTCTTTGGGGACTACAGCCCCCAGAATCCCCAGCCCGATTGTGGGTGGTTGTAAGTCTCCCAAGAGTGGTATATGAATGGCTGTGACTGGCATCTTTTTTTGGGGGGGGAAGGCGGAGAGTAGGCCATGCGTCCCGATTTTGGGATCACAACTCCCAGAATCCACAGCCGAGTGGGTGGGTGGGGGATTCTGGGGGTTGTAGTCCCCCAAGGGGAACGTGGCCCTGCTCTACTGGCCTCGGGGTGGGGTGGGGTCGAAGATGGCCGATACATCCTGGTAAAATGGTAGAAGCTGGGGGGCAGCGCTGGGCCCCAGAGCTGTGGGTGCACAATTTGTGGGGTGACTAAGTCCCCCCCACCCGTGTAATATCGGGGGGCACCTTCCCACGTTTCTTTTCTGGGTCCGGGTTGAAAGCGCTTTGCAGCTTTGGATTGAGGAGCGTTGGTAGTGGGGGTCTTGCAAGCAGACCTTTCAAGGAGACCCATGGATATTTGGGGCTGGGGGTTTGCTGCCCCTCATTGGAGGGCGCAGGGGTGTGTGTGCAATGGCTTCAGTTTCTCACCCAGCTTTCCGACTGAGCCTGGTTTTGCCATGTCAGGGACCTAAGGACTTCCCTTCTAGACCTAACCCTTTTCGCAGCCATTTTGCAAACCTAGGAGGCTCATTGGAGGGCGCAGGGGGGGTGCCAGGGCTTCAGTTTCTCGCCCAGGTTTCCGACTGAGCCTGGTTTTGCCATGACGGGCACCTAAGGACCTCCCCTCTAGACCTAACCCTTTTTTCGCAGCCATTTTGCAAACCTAGGAGGAGCCCGATTGTCCCTTGTCACCGCCGGGAAGTTTCTTTTTTCTTTTTTTGGGGTGGGGGGTGAAGGGGGGGAAGGCAGTCCAGCTACCAGCCTTCGTGACCAGACCTTCCTTCCGAAAGCTGAGGAATTATTTTGACTGCCGATCCCCCAGCCTCCTCAGTGGGCCTGCTGGGCTGTGACCTTTTAAGGAGGAGATGCCGTCCAAAAAATAATAATAATAATTAAAAAAAGCAAAATAAATCAAAACAGGAGTTCGAGTTTAGTTTCTTAAAGATCCGGCCACAGGCAGCTTGAGGGGGAACAACCCATTCGCCTTCTCTCTGCAGGACGGATTATGAGCAATGTACGGTAGTTGCTTGGAAGTGAATTGTTCTCTTAAGGTTTTACTACTTAGATTTTGTCAAATCGTCTTCACATTTTATATGGCTGTATAAATTTTACTGTACACCCCCATCCAGAGCCTCCAAGAAAAAGCAGTTTATGTAAGGATATAAGCAAAACAGTTGCTAAGAGAAAGTTATGAACTGGCTTTCAATGAAATGTGCTCATTTTTCCTACTCCATTGTTGCATTTCATTCATGCATGTATGTCAATTTGATTTGATTCATTTCTTTCAGGATTGAGTCCTTTAAATTTGTTTTTAATCTGAGCACAGAGTATATCCCTTCTTTCCTCCAAGGGGCTGGAAGGGGTGCAGGTGGCTTGCTTTTTTCCATGTTTATCCTCTCACAACAACCTTGTCTGGTACCTGAGGCAGATCCATAGCCCACACTCACCCCTATGAGCCTCATGACTGAATGGGGGATTTGAACCCAGCTGGTTCTGTTCTCTTTGATTGCCTGTGTCACAAAACACCTGAGAATCAAGCAAACATTTTGAAGAAACATTTTTGACTTCCTTGATGGCAGAATATGTGTTAAATTGGTGCTATGGTTTGTGTGTGTGTGTGTGTGAGAAGGAGAGAGAGAGACTGTTATATTCTGCTTTGACCAGGACTTATCTGGAGTTTTGTGTCAAGGTCTTCCATTGTCTAGATAGCCCTGTCTTTTGGGTCTAGAGATTAAGTCCCTAAAAGTTAAGGTTCAAGAGGAAACGACAATTCAATATATTTTGGAGAACGTTAACTTTCAAGAGAGGCTGTTTTTCAACTTCGAGTGCTCTTACATAGCATCAATATTAAGGTCAAGATAAGAGCCAAATGACTAAACAAAAAGTAAATTTCTGATTAAACAGCAAGCATGTACAGTGGTGCCTCGCATAACGAGTGCACCGTTTAACGAAGAATCCGCATACCGATGCGGATTTCCCCATCGCTAATGCGAGGGCATCCTCGCATTGCGATGGGGGAACAGCTGTTCAGCGGTTCCAAAATGGCTGCCGGGACACCCAAAATGGCCGCTGGAACACTAAAAATGGCCGCTGGGACACCCAAAACGGCCGCCGGGACACCCAAAATGGCCGCTGCAACATGGGGGGACATCCAAGAATGGTGAGTTTTGGGCCCATTTGAATGGGTTTCCCCATCCCACTTAACGATGTTTCCCCATAGCAAAGGTTAATCCGGAACGGATTAACCTCACTATGCGGGGCACCGCTGTATTCTCGAAGGCTTTCACGGCCGAGATCTGATGGTCGTCGTGGGTTTTTCGGGCTCTTTGGCCGTGTTCTGAAGGTTGTTCTTCCTGACGTTTCACCAGTCTCTATGGCTGTCCTCCTCAGAGGACAGGAGTCAGAACTGTTAAACATCAGAGCACGGACAGAGTTCTGACTCCTGTCCTCTGAAGATGCCGGCCATAGAGACTGGTGAAACGTCAGGAAGAACAACCTTCAGAACACGGTCAAAAAGCCCGAAAAACCCACAACAACCAAGCAGCAAGAACTTTCTGATTCTCTGAGCCTCTCCCCACTGGAAGGGGCTACTTCTGAAGATGGTGAGCTGTTCTTCCCTTGAGTATTTTAAACAGAAGCTGCGTAGCCACCTGCTCAGAAGTTCTGCAGGAGAAGATTTCATGTCAGCAGGGTTTTCAGCCTTGAGTCGCCAGATGTCCTTGGACGTCAACTCCCAGAAATCTTGGTCAGCACAGCTGCCGGTGAAGGCTTCTGCGAGCTTCCGTCTTAAGAAACGGAAAACTTTTTAATGTGACAGTAACTTTTCTAGTAGGGTTGGGTGCACGTCCTCGCTCTTTACATGTGTTTTGTTTCCTGTCTGCTTTTCTCGTTCCTACTTTTAATTTTCTTTTCCCCCACAGACAGAAGCCTCTTGTCTTTTTCTTCCAGGGATTTTGCTGTTTCGCAGATTTCCTGTGCATACCTCTGACTGGAACCACCCCAAAAGCCTATCCCAGACCCGTGAGGTTAAGCTGTGCTCCTTGAGCATCTGTGGCTACCTATTAGGAAGACAGGCTACTGATCCGGCTTACCCAGAACTCTCTAGTGTTCCCCAGAATCCCAGTTAAAGATTCTCCCCAAGCTCTGCAGGGTTGTTGTTTTTTTAAAAAAAAGAAGAAAGGACAAGAATGATAGAAGAGCAGCGTGTGGTGACAGATCAGGTCCCCGAGGGCCAAACTCTGATTGAGCCACAAATGACGAGCACTGTTAAAACAGAGGAGCGGGAACCAGATATCCCAGTCCTTAGAGCCGAGACGGGGGCCAAAGAGTCTGAAAAGGCGCCTCATGTCATTCAGGCTGGGAGCATTCAAGAATTTCTTCAGAGAGCCTCGGGAAAGCCATTAAATCAGATCCCGGGGGAAGGGTTGCTTCAGCAATGGGAAACCCAGTGGCAGGAGTTCCTGAAGACGCTGGAGTCTCCTTGCTCAGGGTGGGGGGTCCCGTCATCCCCACCCGAGCCCTCCCCGTGGGAGGACACCAAAGCCTTCCTGACCTCCTTCGAGCAAGTCGCCAAAGCCTGCCGGTGGCCCCGGGAGGAATGGGTGACCCGGCTCCTGCCGGCCCTCGATGGGGAAGGAGAAGAGGCCTTGGGTAGCCTGGCAGCTGAGGAGAGAAAGGATTATGGGAAAGTGAAGGCGGCCATTTTGCGAGGCGACAGGGATCGCAGGGAGAAGAAGCGACAGCAATTCAGGCATTTCAGCTACCAGCCGGCTGAGGGGGTACGAGGAACGTACAACCAGCTTCAGGAGCTATGCAACCAGTGGCTGAAGGCAGAAAGGCTTTCCAAGGAGCAGATCTTGGAGCAGCTGGTCCTGGAGCAGTTCCTGGCTGTCCTGCCGCCAGAAGTCCAGCAACGGCTCATGGAACAAGGCCCAGAGACCAGCGCCCAGGCGGTGGCCTTAGCTGAGGATGTCCTGCTCCAGAGGCCAGAGGCTGAGCAGCAGGTAAGATGGCAGGCGGCCCAGGTTGTCTCCAGACTGGTGGGGTGGAAGAGGGGGGACCTGAAGAGAACCAAGCAGGCCACGTGACAGAACAGACGTTACTCCGGCTTGCCTCAAGCCAGCACCTGCTCCCATTATTCCAGTGAAATGCTGTGTGGGGATAATAGGGTTTGGAGTCCACATTTAGAGGGCACCAAGCGAGGAGGAAGTGTTTTACTTGAAAAGATTTGAAGACTAGCTTTTTTAAAAAGTTGGAAATGGCAGGTGCAAAGAGTTGTTCTGGATAAGGACCCTGAAGGGGTTCCTTTCCCAGCCCCCACTCCCCCAGTCCCACGTGAGAGACCCTCCCAATCTGGATCAGGCTGCAAACACAAGGAACGGGATGAGTTAGTATCAAAAAGGAAGCTCCCACCAATACTAATCACAGTTTTTCTTCCTGTATAAAGGTTAGGTGCGTCGCCCTCGTCGGATCTAGATAGGGACTGGAACTTGAGGCCAAACAAGAATGCTCCCTTACCATCACCACCATCCCTTCAGGATCCAAACCAGCACTTGTCAGGGTTTGGATCGGGGCTCTTACCATCACCACCACCAGCACTTGTCAGGGTTTGGATCGGGGCCTCCTGCCTCCTTTTTAAAGATTTCACCCATTCATGAAGTTGCTACAGGTGGTTCATCTGAGGCTCCTCGTGCCAGGTTGGGTGTTGGGAACACTAAATTACAGGGTCACATTACGGCCTTTGGCCTATAATGCGCCTCAGAGCTCTGTGTTATGCCCTGTATTATTTAATACCTGTGTGAAGCCTCTGGGAGAGGTCGTTCAGAGCTTTGGGTGAGGTGCTATCAGTATGCCGATGACACCCAGCTCTACTGCTTCTAGTTTCCCAACACTGAGGAAGCCATCAGGACCCTTGAGCATTGCCAGAGCTCAATAATGAGCTGGACAAGGATAAACAAGCTTCAGTTGTGACAAGACAAATGCTACTGGTCAGAAGAAAAGTCAGGCTGTGGAATTGGGATCAACTTGTTCTAGAATGGACTGCACTCCCTTTGACAGGTCAGGTTGATCATCTGGGTGTTGGGGCAGAGGAGCCTCATGGCACAATGGCTAAACTGCAGTACTGCAGTCAAGATTCTGCTCATCACCTGAGTTTGATCCCAATGGGGATCCCAAGATTGACTCAGCCTTCCATCCTTCTGATGTCAATAAATTGAGTGCCCAGCTCACTGGGAAGGGGAGCAGTGTGCAGCATAAATGCCCCTAGAGAGTGCTTTAAGCACTATGAGGTGGGATCACAATCATAGTGACAGATCATCTCCCCCCTTATCACAACAACACACCCATAACAAAAAACACCCTGATCACAATAATCACCCAATCTCCTGAGAAGAACAAAAACCCTGATCCCACAGCTACAAATACTCAACAGTCCCACACCCTACACCAGAACACAGACAGAGTTCTAGCACCTGTCCTCTGAAGATGCCGGTCATAGAGACTGGTGAAACATTAGAAAGAAAAACCTCCAGAACATGGCCAGACAGCCCAAAAAACCTACAACAACTATCCAATCCTGGCTGTGAAAGCCTTCGAGAATACAGAGCGTTCTCTTTGCTCTCCTGATGTCTGAGGGAGCAGTTACAGACCTGCCACGATCTGACAGAATTTCTGATTTTCCAACTGATGTTCCAGGACAACTTTCTCATGCTCCTCCTTCTATTCAGAAGAGGACTCCAGTGGATGAGAGATGACATTGCTCCCCTCCCAAATTGCTGGATTTCAGAAACACGTTCCCATAAGCTTTCTTTTTGGGCACAGCTTGCCTAGTCAATCAAGCATTACAAGCATCCTCTCTTCATGTGGATATCCAGTATGCCAGCCACCTTATATTCTTCCTTCTTATGCATGAGCCATGGAAGACAGGATGGATGTGGAATGATGCAGGAAATGTGACAGGGCTGATATGGGCCGTGATTGGAAAGGGTCTGGTGGAAAAGGCATCCAATATCCCTCGGGGATGATGACTTGGAATGGTGTCATGTGAAGAACCCAACCTTACCACCCATCCTTAAGAGAGGTCCAGGTTGCTGTTTCACATTTGCAGAAGGTTTTGTCAGTCTCCTTGGACCTCTTCAAATGCTCCCTTACAAGAATATGAAAAGACTGTAGCTCCTGCCACGGTTGGTCAACGGCAGGGACTGAAGACTTCATGGACAACCCTGGGAAGAAACGAGGATGTAGGTCTCCAAGAAAGGGGTTTGTGGCAAGGATGAATGACTCTAATTGCTATAGGGCAAAGGTAGCTAGTGGCAGGAGCTCAACCTGGTTGCCTTGTTGGAAATGAATGTAACAAAGGAAATACTACTTGACAGTGGCTTTGATACATCCTGTCTGGCCATCAAACTGGAGGTGGTAGACAGAAGACTAGTGGAACATTGTGTCTAGCTGCTGGAACCAGCTCTGCCAGAAGCAAGAAGTCATACTATCCTTTTAGGCAACCCACTGAGGAGGAAAAAAATTGAGGAGGAAACATGCTCCAAGAAGAGGATGAGGTGGATTGACTCTATCACAGCAGGAGTTCCCGTATGGGAGATAAAAGGAGCCATCTTTGAAAACAGGTCTACCACTATGAGAATAGTTGTGTGGTCTCCTGCCAAGGGCAGGTCTGTAACAAAGGCCATCAATCTTTTTTGACTGGCTTGGGCCAAGAGGTTCTGGGCTTGTTGCTCCTGAAGCTTCTGAGTCAGAGCTTTGGTCAAGACAGTGGTTGCAAAGTTCTCAGAGTGGACCCCACTACCCTGGGATCCCTCACCCTTGAGGGGATCATAAATGGGTTTGCAGGACAAAGCATCAGCCTGCCTATTCTGAGCATGAAGGATGTAAGTCCTTATTGAAACTGAACCACACAAAGAAGAAAGACCTCCATAATCTCCACGTTCCATTCTCCAAGTCTTGGTGGTCGGTGCGAACCTTCACCAGGGGCACAGCTTCTCCCAGCAAGTGTTGCCAGTTGTCAAATGGTAAAGAGCTCCTTGTCCCCACTGGTGTAATTCTGCTAAGTTGGGGTTACTTTGCAGGAGTGGACCACACAGGGCAAAAAAAATACTCCCACCCTGGTTCTATGAGTTGGAGGAGCAAAGCCCCCACAGCTGCCTTGGAGGCATCTGCTCCCACCACAAGAGGAGTAGGACGGATCTGGGTGCTGCAGGATAGATTCGGAGACAAATAGATCTTTTAATCACTGGAATGTTTGCTTGGCAGCTGCATCTCACTTGAATGGTTTATGGCCCTAGAGCAGCGGTCCCCAACCTTTTCGGGACTGCGGACCAGCTGAGGAAGGCGGGGCACCCCCACACTCTTGTGCATGCACGAAGCAGTGGAGCGTGCGCGATTGCTACCACACCCCTTTACGCATGTGGCACAGTACCTGCACGCCCGCCCATGCTCCCCCACCCCTTTGCGCAGGCTCTCGGACAAATGCATGAAGGGGTGGGTAGTGCTCACGCTGGCGCTGGTACACATGCGCAAAGCAGCTGTGGGGGGTGGGTGAGAGGTCTGTCTTCGCGACCCGATCCGGCTCAGGCCACAGACCGGGGGTTGACAACCTCTGCCCTAGGGGACTGACAAGGGTGCTTTAAGTCTTGCAAAGTCATAGATGAGTTAGAAGTACTAATTCATGAACCTCAAGAACTACTAGACCTTTACATCCCAAGGTATGGTCCAGGACACAATGACTTCAATGATGGAGGGGTCTGTCTCAGTCCCCCAAGGAGCAGTACAGTTGCTTATAAGTCAGAGGCACATTTCTCTAGTTTGGTGTACAAATGGTGTTCTCGCAGGTGCTGCAAGATGGCTCATACATGGGTTATACATGTTTCAGGGCTAAGCAGATAAATCAGGAGGTAATCAATGTAAATCACAACAAACTAGCCCACATCCTCATTGGAAATGTCATTCATGAAATGCTGCAAGAAAGCAGGAGCATTCCGCAGGCCAAATGGCATGACTATAAACATATACAGAGTCAGGAAGACAGTCTTCCAAGCATCTCCTGCTTGAATGCAGGCTAGGTTATATGCTGCTCACATGCCGACCAAGTGGGTAGGGAAGGTAAAGTGCATCACCTATAGTGCCAGTGCAACGAACTGGCATGAACCTCCGAACTGAGATTCATGTTGTGAATGGGAAGATAAAGGAGAAGAAAAGAGAGTGAGCTGTCTTCTCATACGTCTGCGGAGGAGGAAAAAGGTAGTGAAGCGAGAAAGGAAGGGGTAGCGAAAGTTATAGAGAATATGAAAGCATTAAAGGCAGGAAAAGAGGAGGAGGAGCCAGAGAAAAGGGGGAGGAAGGAGATAAATGTTTTCTTGACATTGGACAAGGGGAAGAGATCGGGAAACAAAGAAGGTGGTGGTATGGGAAGAAGAATGGCTGGAGGTAGAAGGAGAACCCAGAATGTTTAAGATTCTGGAAAGGGACATTAAGTGGTGAAAGTGTAGAGTGTAAGAAAGTTGGAATTAAAAGGGAACAAGGAAAGCCATAGGAAGGAAAGCTATATACTGTAGAAGGACTGGGATCTGAGGAATGGACGGTCTTAGTGCACCCTTGAGGGTGGGGTTCTTGGAAGAAGGTGATCCAACCAGGACCAGTTCAGCAGAACAAGAAGCCACTCGAAAGGGACTGGTCTCGTCATCCCTGCTCTGGGACAATATGTGCAGTGAGGAGTGGATACTTGAGAAAGCCAACAGACCAGGAATGGTTCGGACAATCTTTCCGCTAAAGAAGAACAGTTATGAAGAGACATTGCCCTTGTTGTGGGCTGATTTTCCTGTTAGTATTGAACACGTTGATCCCATGAGATAGTTGTAGAAAAACTGACCACTGTTGTTAATAAAGACTCTTTGCTAGAAAAACCCTCTTTCTTGTCATTTCCCACCAAAAATGAGGAACTATCATTCACTGACAAACAACCTGATCACAATGGTGCCCAACGTGGGGCAGTTCCAAAGGCGATAAAATCAGGAGAGTGGAGATTACAGAAAACTATTGAGAGACAAGAAAGGCTGATAGATGTGCTGGCTGAGCAGCAGCAGTTGCTGATAGGACAAATATCAAAAAGCGAAGAACGAGATTATGGGACAGTGGTACTGATAAAGAATCCCTGGGTGGCGGGACCAGCCCCCATACGAGTGCAGAAGATGGGTCCCAAAGATGACCCTGAGGCTTATTTACATACATTCGAATGACTAGCTATTGCAGTGGGTTAGCTGAAGGAACAATGGACCCTGATCCTAACTCCTTGTTTATCTGGAGTCTTTCAAGAAGTGGTAGACACACTGGCTCCCGATGAAGCGGTACAATATGAAAAAGTAAAATCTACAATCCTACAGACACTCAGTTTAACCGAAGAAGCCTGTCAGAAGAGATTTCAAGATCTGAGACTAGGATCAGCCATTAAAATAGTAATGTGCGTTGCTGGGTTCAACGTAGACACCCGAAGGATTTAGAAGAAGCAGTCCAGCTAGTGGAGAATTTTGGCATTGCTAAGAAACCGGCTGAGATAGCTCTGCCCTAATCCAAGAACAAAACAGAGGGAGAGAGAAGATGGTGACTGGAGGTTCTTTTGGAGTGGGGCCACGCGGACCAACAATGAGAAATGGATCCCAGAGAGGAAGGGGAGAAGGTTTTGGACCCATGGGGCCTAAACCAATAAAGCCTGCGATGGTCGACACAAGAATCCACGAGGTGTACCCTAACTGGAGAGGAGGGAGAGAAAACCGGGATATGTGCCATCAGTGTGGTGGCGTAGGACATGACAGCTGGGACTGCCCTGTTTGCTCCTGGGTTGGCCAGAACTCAAACATTCTGCAGGTTCAGGGTTCAGAGCAAACTGGATGGGAGGTGAAGACCTATGTTAACGGGGAAATAAAAAGAGATTTGGTTGATACAGGTTGTGGGAAAACCTTAGTGAAGAACTTGAGAAGAGCACAATTAGGGGGGAGCATGATGATTCGGTGTATTCACGGGGATCTGAAGGCATATCGAACAACTTGGGCCAAAGTGGAGATAGCAGAGGAAAAAAGAAAGCTAAAGGTAGGAGTGGTACCCAGTCTAGCTAAGGAGATGTTGTTGAGCTGAGACTGGGTAAGGGCTCGCAAATTAATACAGTTTAAAGAGGGGGTGCACGGGGAGTGTTTAAGGGAAAACAAAACTGAAGGTTTCCTGGAAGGGGTCTCCAGGGAACAGACCCAGTTTTGGCAACAAGATGACCGTACTTTGGGTGAGTTCTTGAAACAAGGGAAAGAAGACAGCACAATTAAGCCTGGGGTGTTAGGGTTTGAGATGTGTGAGGGCTTGCTATATCAAATTAATAAGGAAGGGACTAAGCAGTTAGTGGTCCCCTACAAATGCAGGACAGAAGTGGCCCATGACATTCCTATGGCAGGACATTTGGCTGTGCAGAAGATGGCGCCCCGAGTGTTACACAAGCCGATCGCCATTCCAGATCACTCTGAACAATAATGGAAATATATCACTAATAATCGCATTTTGTCTTGAACCCTATTTGTTACATGAGTGTCCTTTGGTGAAATGAGAGCAGGATGTGTTTCCTACATATAATATTAATCTTTTCTTGTTCTTCCTGCCACTGATTCAGAATGACCTCCAAGTGCCCAGGAGGGCAGGTTTGAATTCACCGGAAACAGAGGGGACTCAGCTGGTTCCAGAGCAGGGACCAAGCATGGTGGATCCTTGTGAAGAGACCAGCCAGGGAACCGGCAATGCTGACAATGCCAGTTTCCTGTCGGGTAAGTTTTAATGGTTTTAATCCAGCGATTGGGTCTTCATCTCACCTGCCATCGGTTCCTGGTAAATAGCATTCAAAGATTGTTCCAGCACCACTGCCCTCAATCTTCAAAATGGAAGAAAAAGCAGAATCCAATGGGGAGAGCACATTCTTAGCATAAATAAAATAGAGGCAGGGGCACGGAGGCCACATACATTTCCCTCACTGATTCTCCCCTCGCAAGCCACCTTTTCTACAGAACAAAGAGAGACATTTGTACCTGGAAGCTTCTGCGAACTAATTTACAGTGGTGCCCCACTTAACGCTTACCCTGCTTGACAACGAATCCGCTTCACGATGAAGTTTTTGCGATCGCAAAATTATGTTTTAATGGGCAAAAACCGCTTTACGAGGATCAGTTCCCTGCTTCGGGAACTGATTCCTCGCATTACGACGATCAAAATTGCTGATTGTTGGGTTTTCAAAATGGCTGCTGGCTGCTCGAAATGGCTCCCCGCTGTGTTCAGGAAAGAATTTTTCACTGCAAAGGCATGGAAAATGGCCACCCTATGGAGGATCTTACAAGATCTTTAGCCATGCCATTACCAGTGGTCTCTGAGTGGTGTACAACAATATTAAAACTTCATAAAAACATTAAAACCATTAAAAATACCCAATACAGTGGTGCCCCGCATAGCGAGGTTAATCCGTTCCGGATTAACCTTCGCTATGGGGAAACATCGCTAAACGGAACGGAAAAGCCCATTGGAACGCATTAAACTTCGTTTAATGTGTTCCAAATGGGCCCAAAACTCACCGTTCTGCGGTGTTTCTCCATCCGGCCACGGCCATTTTGGGTGTTCCGGTGGCCATTTTGGGTGTTCCGGCGGCCATTTTGGGTGTTCCGGCAGCCATTTTGGAACTGCCGAACAGCTGTTCCCCCATCGCAATGCGAAGAAACATTGGTATGCGATCGCATTAGCAATCGCAAAATCTGCATCGCTGTGCGGATTCATCGTTAAACGGTGCGCTCGTTATGCGAGGCACCACTCTATTATAATAATAACCTATATTAAAACAGTCAATTTACCATTAATAAATCCTGCTGTTCATATGGATACTATTTAATTAATAGTTTCCATATGAGCATATTTAATTAAAATGCTGGCTAAACAGAAAGGTCTTTGCCTGGTGCCGAAATGCCAAAAAAGTTGGAGCCAGGTGGAACTCTATAAGGAGGGTGCTCCAAAGTTGAGGGGCAACAGCCGAGAAGGCCCTATTTCTACATGCCATCCCCCTCACTTCTTTCAGGAAGGCATCTTCAGAAGAGCCTCCTTGCCTGTTCTTAGAGGATGGGCAGGCTCGTACGGAAGAAGGTGGTCCTTTAGGTAAACAGGTTCTGAGCTGTTTAGGGCTTTATACAGTGGTGCCTCGCATAGCGATCACTCCTTTTAATGAAGAAATCGCTTAGCAACGCTGTTTTTGCGATCGAAGAAATCGCTTAGCAACGCTGTTTTTGTGATCGCAAAAGCAATCGCTTTGCGATGTTCCCTATGGGGAAAATTTGCTTTGCAGTGATCACAGGGAAGCAATCATCGCAAAGCCCCCATTTTCGGCCTGCTGATTGGCGGTTCCAAAATGGCCGCCGGGTAAACAAAATGGCCGCCCACTGTGTTTAGGGACAGATTCCTCGCTTAAGAGGCAGCAAAAATGGCCGCCATATGGAAGATTTTCGCTTAAGGTTAGTTTTGAAGCCCATAGGATGGAGTTTTAATACGTTTCTATGGGCTTTTTAATTCTGTTTAGCGATGAAATCGCTTAGCAACATTTTTCCCTGCACGGATTAACGTCGCTAAGCGAGGCACCACTGTATGTCAAAGTAAGCAATTTGAATTGGGTCTGAGCAGCAACTGGCTTCTCTGGCGGCAAAATTTAGGTTCGACTTGCAGCCAGAACTGGCGTGCTATGAGTCCGTAGGGCAGCACCACTTACCAGCTGGGCAGCTTGGTTCTGTTCCAGTTGTAGTCACCGGACTGTCTTCAAAGGCTGCCGCACGTGTAGCGTATTGCAATAGTCCAGTCTGGTTGTTACCAATGCATATGTGACTGTTGCCAGGCTCCGCTCATCCAGGTAAGGGTGAAGTTGATATATTCTCGCAGCTCTAAGAAGGCACCCCTGGATATCAAGTCCACCTGGGCTTCCAAAATCAGACCCAGGTCAAGGAGCACCTCCAGGTTGTGAACCCTGTCCTTTAGGGGGAGTGCAACCCTGTCTAGGGCAGGTTAAACTGGCATGCTATGAGTCCGTAGGGCAGCACCACTTACCAGCCGGGCAGCTTGGTTCTGTGCCAGTTGTAGTCACCGGACTGTCTTCAAAGGCTGCCGCACGTGTAGCGTATTGCAATAGTCCAGTCTGGTTGTTACCAATGCATATGTGACTGTTGCCAGGCTCCGCTCATCCAGGTAAGGGTGAAGTTGATATATTCTCGCAGCTGTAAGAAGGCACCCCTGGATATCAAGTCCACCTGGGCTTCCAAAATCAGACTCAGGTCAAGGAGCACCCCCAGGTTGTGAACCCTGTCTTCCAACAACAGGCACAATCTGGCCTGTGTTAAATGGCCCTTTAACCTATCTGCCAGTGCACCTACCAGCAGCAGTTCTGACTTGTCTGGATTAAGCCTCAAGATTATTGACCCTCATCCAGTCCCTGCTCTCTAATCCCTGCTCTCTAACTACTTAGCCGTATCCTGCATTTTTTAAAAGGGAGACTGAACCCAAAGTGAGCTGTTTCTGTGTTTGTCATGTTGGCTGTGTTGGGTCCTAAGAAGGCAGAATTTTCCCCTGGACTCTCCAAATCTGCTGCCACCCCTGACCAGGAAAGGCTCTAGGTTCACACTCTGAGAGGAGGGACTTCCAACAACAGGCACAATCTGGCCTGTGAAGCACTGGGATCTCCCTGCAGAGGCTCGTGAAAGCAATATTTAACTTATTATTCTTGGCAGGAAAGATGTGAGGTCATTACAGTTCAATCTCCAGCTTTTAATGCTGGATGCAGCTGCTGGGAATGTGCCATTCAGAGGTGGGGGGGGAGAGCTTCCTTTCTGAACAGGAAGCTCATATGCAGCTAGGCTTAGCCAAGCTACAGAGCCTCCCAGCTTAGGCCTTTCTCGGGGGGCAGCTTCCTTTCTGAACAGGAAGTTCATATGCAGCTAGGCCTAGCCAGGCTACAGAGCCTCCCAGCTTAGGCCTTTCTCCCAGGTGAGCCACATTTAGTTGTCTGTAGGTGTATGCATGTCAGACAGAATGAAGACCAATGTAATCTAAAAATTCAGAATGAAGACTAATGTAGTCTAAAAATTCCAGTTGGCATATCTCTCACAGCTTCAGCTACAGTCATGAATGTGTAAACACAACAGTGTTTCATACTGAGATGGATCCCTGTTATCTCAATCTCTCTCAATTTCTCTGTTCCAGCAGATCCAATACAGAATGATTCATTGACCGAGAATGAAAAGAGTCATCTTCCAGGGGAGTCCCCTTTGCCAATGGATCCAGAGGCATCACCGATAACAGAGCAAGAGGTGTCCCAGCGCTGTCAACAGGGAGGAGAATCTGGGACTTCAGAGGGGCTGGCAAAAGAGGCCAAGGTGAATCCCAACATGAAACTGGTTGTGAGGCTGAATGAAATTCGTCTGGGAATCTCAGGGAACAAGGAAGACGCCTCATCCTCTCAAATCCTAAAGAGCTTAACACAGAAAATCCCCTGTGTTAAGCTCCTGAGCATCCAGGTTGGGGAGAGACCCTATATGTGCTCCAAGTACTGGGAACAAGGAGAAACACCTGGGTGTTCAAACAGGTCAGCAAAAGATGCAAAGAAAAGTTCGAACAAGAAAGTTGCCAAGAAACTGAATGAAAACCAAGCAGAGAACAAAGGAGAAAGTGCATCTCCTCCGAGCACAAAGAGCTTCAAGCTGAAGCCCCCAAGTATCTGGAACGGGCGGAGACCCTACAAATGCTCTGAGTGTGGGAAGCACTTTTCTTGCCGCGCTTACCTTTCTAAGCACCAACGGATTCATTCGGGCGAGAAGCCTCATCAGTGTTCCTACTGTGGGAGGCGCTTCCGGGAGCGCTCACACCTCATAAAGCACGAGCGATTGCATACGGGAGAGAAGCCCTACAAGTGCGAGGACTGTGGCAAGACTTTCCGCCAGTCTGCAAACTTGGGGAAACATCTAAAGATGCATGTCGGGGTCCCCATCTACAAGTGTCCAGATTGTGGGAAGAGCTTCAGACAACGGGTCAAGTTCTACCAGCACCGTAAAGTCCACACAAGTGGGGAAAGATATCCCTGTTCACAATGCGAGGAGACCTTTGATCAGCTCTCTCTCCTTCAAAAACACCAGAGAACACATGCCCCAGAGCGGGCCCACAAGTGTCCCGTGTGCAATAAAAGCTTCAGTTATCAATCGAGTTTTCTGAAGCACCAGATGACCCACACGGGAGAAAAACCCTATAAATGTTCTGCCTGCGGCAAGAGATTCAACCAGTCCTCAAATCTTCACAAGCACTACAAAATCCACACCGGGGAGAAACCCTATAAATGTTCCACCTGCGGGAAGTCGTTCATACAGAGCTCTCATCTGAGTCTGCATTTGAACACCCACAAAGGATTTAAGACGTTTAAATGCTTAGATTGCGGAGACAGCTTCACTGACCGATCGCACCTTATGAAACACAAATTGACTCATGCTGGAGAGAAAGAAGGAATGTCAGCTTGAAACGTCACATAATTTTATAAGGGACAGATGCTTCTTCTTTTTTTTTAAGGCATAGATCTCGATTCTGCTGTTACCTTATGAGGAAACTGCACAATCCGCTCTTATAACATGGCACTTCTCATTCTGACCTACCTTGCAGGCAGGTTGTGCAGTTTAAAAGAACACAATACTTCAGAGAATGCCTCTAGGGATCTTGGCACAAAGATCTGGACTGTGCTGTTTTTTAGAGATGTAGAATCATGTCATAGGAAAAGGGATAAGTTGGGGAAACAAGGACTTAGATGTCATATGACAGGATGAGGAAAGACTGCCGAATATATTTTACATGGATTTTAACTAGATATAACTTAATGAATTAGAGATGAGATTGTAATTTTTCCATAGGAAGTACCTTGTAGCACTTTTAAGAATAACAAGTTTATTATGGCTTTGGCTCAGACAATGAGGATTACCTGAACATTTAGATGGATGTAAATGAAGTACAGCAGTTTGCACAAGGCAGTGTGGATGATCACATAAGCAACCTTGGTCAGCAGAATCAACACCTTTATTCAGGTAGAAACTGTTTATCTCAATTCCGGCTGGAAATGGAATGGGCTGGAAAACCCTTAATTGATTCATTCAACTGCCAATTCAACCATATATTTTTTGCTAAGATGAAATTCATAGGTTTTGTCCTGGAGTTGCCCCTTCATATCTTAAATATACAGTGGTGCCTCGCTTAGCGAGTGCACCGTATAGCGATGTTTCCGTATAGCGATCCCTTTTTCGGGATCGCTATACGGAAACATACCCGATCTTCGCAATGGGGAAAACCCGTATTGCGAAGATCGGGTATTGCGGCGGCCATTTTGGAGCTGCCGAACAGCTGTTCCAAAATGGCCGCTGGAAGCCCGGAAATGGCTGCCGGCAGCTGTTTTCGCGCCCTGCCCTCGCTTAGCGTTAGCGAGGGCGCGAAAATGGCTGCCGGCAAGGGGAATCCTCGCTGAACGGGTAAGTAAGCAAGGTATTGGAACGCATTAAACTAAGTTTAATGCGTTTCAATACGTTTTCCCTACCCGTTTAGCGACGATTCCGCATAGCGAGGGTTAATCCGGAACGGATTAACCTCGCTATGCGGGGCACCACTGTATATGCAGATGACACCATATTATTGTCAGAAAGCAAGAAGACTGTTAAACAATTTCTGATGATTGTGAAAGAAAAAAAAAATCCAAAAGCGGAACTGTAATTGAATCTTTTAAAAAAGCAAAAAAATAAATACATCATGGACTACAGAAGAATGACACAATTTTATTTTGACAATGAAGAATTTGAAGTTGGTAAAGAATTTGTATGCTTTGATTCTTGATTCGGACATCAACCAAAATGCAGACTCCATCCAAGAAACCAGAAGAGCAGCTATGAAGGAATTAGAATTTATCATCAAGTATAACTGTTAGAACATTATGACAGTGGAACCAGTTACCTTGGGAGGTGATGAGTGCTCCATCACTTGAGGCATTCAAGAGAAATTTGGACAACCATCTGTCAGAACTGCTTTGATTTGGATGCCTGCATTAAGCAAAAAGTTGGCCTCAATGGCCTTATAGGCTTCTTACAACTCAATTATTTTATGATTCTAAGACAAAAGCCAAGATCGTCTACATTATTGTATTCCTGATTACTGTGTATGGATGTGAAAGTTAAACAGTGAAAAAAGCTGGCAGAAGAGGGAGTTGATCTTCGACAAGAAGACAGCAAGTATTAAGGACAGGAGTGTCAGGGATGCATCAGAAATAGAGAAGGGAGAAGACTCCCTGGAAAAGACCCTGATGTTGGGAAAGTGTGAAGGCAAGAGGAGAAGGGGACGACAGAGGACGAGATGGTTGGACAGTGTCACCGAAGCTACCAACATGAATTTGACCCAACTCCGGGAGGCAATGGAAGACAGGCGGGCCTGGCGTGCTCTGATCCATGAGGTAACAAAGAGTCAGACACGACTTAACGGCTAAACAACAACAAAAGGAACCCTCAAATCGAGATGAAAAACAACAACCTTGAAGCAGTTGAAGGGTTGAACCTATAGTTCCAAATGTTTCTGTACAGAGTGTGAGAGACTAATAAGGTGAACTGAAACTTCTAACACAGGAAGGCAATTATAATTTAATAGACATTGCCAAAGCCTGGTGCGATGAGGCTCATGACTGGAATGTAATGAGAGAAGAGTGTTAACTTATTCAAAAGGAACAATCTAAACAGGAATAGTGGAGAAGTAGTATTGAATGGAAAGAATGTGTACAGGTGGCACGAGGTACATGAGTTGGAGCATAGAAGAATGGTGGAGAGCATTTGGTTAAAAATCAAAGTTAAGAGAAATAATAATGATGCCACTGTGGGGATCTGCCACATACCCCTCGGCAAACTGAAGATGTGGATGATACCCTTCCAGATCAGATTGCCCAGAATTCAGAGAGCAGAAATATAGTAGTACAGTGCTGCCTTGCTTAACGATTAACTCGTTAAACGACGAAATTGCTAGATGATGAAGTTTTAGCGAATGCAAAACGATATTTTAATGGTAAAAATTCGCTTAACGATGATCGGTTTCCTGCTTCGGGAACCAATTTTTCACTAAACGACAATTTTGAAACAGCTGATCGGCGGCTCTAAAATGGCCGCCCTCTGTGCAAAATGGCTCCCCACTGTGTTTTCAGGATGGATTCCTTGCTTTACAGGCACCGAAAATGGCCTCCCCTATGGAGGATCTTCGCTGGACACTGAGGTATTTAGCCCATTGGAACACATTGAACCGGTTTCAATGCATTTCAATGGACTTTTTCGTTTCGCTTGACAAGGATTTCGCTTAACAGCGATTTCAATGGAACGGATTATCCTCGTCAAGCGAGGCACCACTGTAATGGGAGACTTCGACTATTCTGATAGGGATGTCCAGCTCTTTCAAGAATGTAAAGTCCACCAACTTCCTCACTTGCCTTGCTGACAACTTCATCTTCCAGGTGGGAGAAGGAGCAACAGGAGGATCAGCTAAAAAAGAGTGTGGTGCTTATATACTGCCCCATAGCACTTAAAGTACTCTCTGGGTGGTTCACAAGTTAATTATGCAAGCTACACATTGTGTGTCTCCCCCCCACAGCAATCTGAGTACTCATCTTACCAATCTCAGAAGAATAGAAGGCTGAGTGAACCTTGAGCTAGCTACCTGGGATTGAACCCTGGGTCGTGCGCACAGTTTTGGCTGCAGTGCAGCAGTTTAACCACTGTGCCATGAGGCTCATTAGAGATCTGGTCATAACTTAGAAAAAATGGTCTAAATATTGGGGTGGAATATGCTCTTTTGGCATTTGTTATTCTGCAGAACGTGAAAATTGAGAACAGTATGACACACACTGGAGGCTAGTGGTTCTCAGTCTTGGGTCTCTAGATGTCCTTCCACTAAAACTCCCAGAAGCCTAAATGAAGATGATGGCCACTACAGTGGACCCTCGAATTACAGACAGCTTGACTTACAGACTTTTCGAGTTACAGACTTCTCTGGCGGCAAAATTTAGGTTCGACTTGCAGCCAGAGAATCAACCTACAGACCAGGAAAAAACCAAAATGGAACAAAAATGGAACAAAAACGACTGGTTACAGGATTACAGTGGTGCATCGCAAGATAGGCGCTCCGTTTAACGACAAATCCGCATTACAACGAGGTTTTTACATTCTTGATTGGGGGAATTTTGCTACGTGATGATCGGTTCCCTGTTTCGGGAACCGATTTTCGCTTCCCGACTATTAAAACAGCTGATCGTTGGGTTTTCAAAATGGCAGCCGGGTGCTCAAAATGGCTCCCTGCTGTGTTTAGGAGCCATTTTTCGCTGCACAGGCACCCAAAAATGGCCACCCCTATCGAGGATCTCCACTGGACTGTGAGTTCTTAGCCAATTGGAACGCATTAACCAGGTTTTAATGCGTTTCAATGGCTTTTTTATTTTCGCTTTACGACATTTTCGTTCTACACCGATTTCGCTGGAACAAATTAACATGGTAATGTGAGGCACCACTGTAATCTGTTTTTAATACATTGTAGGTCAATGGAGACTCAACCTACAGACTTTTCGACCTGTAGCCACCGTTCCAATATGGATTAATTCCCTAAGTAGAGGGTCCATTGTATTGACCAGGCAGCTTGACATCAGTATCAAGAAAAATCAGAACAGGTCATTCAACAGTTAGTTGGTCTGTGACCACTTAGAAAGGACACTGTGATTTAGAGGAGGTAACCGTGTTAGTCTGTCCAAGCATACCAGGAAAATCGAAAGGAAAAAAACAAAACAAAAATATGGCATCTTAAAAACTGCCATATTTTTTCGTTTATAAGACACACACACACACCCACGGTTTCTGACATTAAGAAAACATAGCTTTGAGGATTCAGCCTCCGGGCTCCGAACATCAGACATTACGAGTCCCTGTTGAATCTGAGCCTACAGGCTCCACCTTCCACAAGGTCTGCTCCAGTTGATTTGTTCAGGATCAGCTGATGTCAGTTCCATAAGGCTCATGATTGGAGGAAGCTCAATCGCCGGACTGTAGGAAGCTGAGTCTCGTGACGGAAGGAAGCCTATTTGAGGCAGCTATCCTCAGCTATCTCAGCTTACTTCCGTGTAAAGGACACCCCTCAATTTTTAGTGTAATTATTTTAGGAAAAAGTAGCATCGTATACACGGAAAAATATGGGAACTATTCTATTTTAATGTGAGCTTTTCTGGATCACGTCCACTTCAGACATTTGTCTCCTGTGGGAACATTTAGAATAGATCTTAACACCAAATGTAGGCCATAAATTACCGTATGTAAGATGTAACCACTCACCCAAAATTCTTAAAACCAATGAATATTTTGATTGTTCGACTTGTGAATTCAGTACACTAGTACCTCTGTTTGTGAATGCCTCCGTTTACATAATTTTCAGTTTATGAACTGAAATCCGTAAGAAATAAAGCCCCCGTTTATGTTGTTTTCCTTTTTTCACACTACAAATGGGTTTTCCCAGGGCGCATTGTGCCTATAATGCCGTCCCTTTCGTAGCGTAATCGGCATTTCATTTTGTGAAATTTCTGTACGTGACGTCACGTAGAACGGATCCGTTTCGCAAACCGAGGTATTACTGTATTTCATTCTGTATTTCATTTCATTCCATATGTTTGTTTTGGGTTTTTTTCCTTTGGATTTCACCTGATGAGATTTGTAAGACTTAGTATGGGTTTCTAAAAAGCAAATAATGTCAGGCTAAGCTTATCTCTCTCTTTTTTTTTCAAGAGTCACAAGCTTTGTAGATAAGGGGAATGCTGTAGATCAGGCTTGTCCAACCCGCAGCCCGAGGGCCGCATGCAGCCCAGGTCAGCTCATAATGCGGCCCAGTGCAATTTCTTATTTTTAAAAAAATTCTGAAGTTTCAAGTTACACTGCTGGCGCTTGCGGCCGGAATGTGGCTGGGGCATGTCACAACAGTAGAGGGGGAGAGAGGGAAGGAAGGAAGTAGTGGGAGGGGAGGGGAGCTGCGTGACTGCATTGCACCATCCCCGTCAATAGGTGGACCCCCCCTCCCGGCCCCATAAAGCTGCTGGAGTCGAGGCTGGTAGGCTCTGCCCTCTGAGATCGCAGCTGCCGGTAAGTGCGCTTGGAGCGGGGCTGCGGAGGACGGCTAGGGCTGCCCCCCCCCATGCGGCCCAAACCAAATGTATGTGCGGCCCAAACCAAATTT